TTAATCCAAAATATATAAAGACCTTTTATAACTCAATAAGACAAGCATCCAGTAAAAACTTGACACATGGCCGGGCGGTGGTGGCGCACGCCTTTGATCCCAGCACTTGGGAGGCAGAGGCAGGCGGATCTCTGTGAGTTCGAGGCCAGCCTGGGTTACCAAGTGAGTTCCAGGAAAGGCGCAAAGCTACACAAAAAAAAAAACTTGACACACATTTTGTGTGTGTGTGTGTGTGTGTGTGTGTGTGTGTGTGTGTGTGTGTGCGCGTGCACGCACGCACGCACGCACGCACGCACGCACGCGCATGCACTCATGGGTACGTGCATGGCTAATGTGCATATGATCAGAGAGCTGTTCAACATCATTAGTTATCAGGCTATTTCAAATTAAAATCAGTTGAGATTCCACATGCATTCTGAAGACTAGGTTAAATTTAAAAGAGAAAGAGAAAAAAAAACCCCACCAATTGTGCATCAACTGGAAATCAGACATTACTGATAGGAATGTGAAACGGTATAGTCACTTTGGAAAGCAGTTTTGTAAGTACATTTGTTTTTGTTTTCAAATGAAGTGAAATACACATTTGCCATATAGCCTTGTAATCCTATGTCTAGGTTTTACCTAAAAGAACTCGGAATGCAATCTCACAAAGAGCTGCCTGTGAGTATTCCTAAGAGATTGTTCACCAGAGTCCCAAACAACCCAAATGTCCATCAGTAGATGAAATAATAATAAAGGTGATATATCCGCAGGGTAGACTACGTAATAACAAGAAGGAGTAAGCTGCTTATTATATATACAGTCATGTACAGAGATGAGTGTTCATATATGTTGAGTGGAAGAAGCCAGACATTGAAGACTTTAAGAGCCTCCCATTCATAGGAAGTTGTAAAATAGGTCAGTCTGTAGTGACAAAGCAAGTCTCTGCTGGGGCTGGGAACTGCAGAGAGGGATAGGGAAGCTGCTGGGGATGCAGGTCTATGTACTTTCTACAGCTTATGGATTAAAAGATGCATTAAAGTGGACACATTTTATTACAGGCACAACTTATACCCCCCAGTAATTAATGTGAAAAATATTGTCTTTGACTAATCCTTTTTAAGGCACAGGAACCATCTTTAAGGCCAGGAAAATACACTGACACACAACAAATACGAGATCAATTTAAACATGTAGGCAGTGCTGTTAATTTGGAACACACAAGAGTCAAACATGGCTAATTGGAGGAACACCTTTTAGAGCAGATAAACTTTCAATAGCCATGACTGTAGCTTTCAGGAAGATAACGATGTTAAATGTATACAATCTAAGTAAATGCTCTGTTATGCTTACCCCAAATCCAGGGTCACAGAGACCCAAGATGTGGTAGTTAGCTCTTGTCCTGTGACAAATAACAGAAATAAATAATAGAAAAAAAAAGGAAGCTTTATTTGGCTCCTGGCGTTTGGAAGCTTTAGCCCGGGGCTGCCTCTTGATTTTCGGCATGTGGTAAAGACATGGTGGGGAGCATATGAAGAGCAAAGCTGCTCACTGCAGAGTCACCGGAAGCAGGAAGAGGGGAGGGGCATGGCCGCCTCCCCTAACTTCTTCACACCTGGTGTCTCAGTTGGTTATCCAATACCAAAGGGGAGCTCTGAAACATACAAGTAACATTACACAGACTGAGCAGGTTGTGTTTATGTGTTTAGAAATGCACACACACACACACACACACACACACACACACACACACACACACACAAATAGCAACTAAAGAAAAGGAGGGCATCAATTTAAGAGTGCAAGGGGGTACTTGGGAAAAAAAGGAAGAAGAAAAATGATGTAATTATATTATAATCTTAAAAAAAAGTTTAATAAAAAACTGGCTATAGTCAAACTATAGATAACAGGCACAAACACTAAAGATAAAGTATTTAAAGTAATGTAAAAAATACTAGCAACAACTTTCTCTCCAGGTTTAGTCCTTTTTTTTTTTTTTTTTTTAATTTAAAAGAATTAGCATCATATTAAGAGCGGTTTTTTCTTTTTTGTTTGTTTTCAATTTTTTTTTTTTTTTTGGTGTGTGTGTGCCTCTGTGCACACTTATGTGGAGGCCAGAGGGCAACCTCAGATGTTGTTCCTCAGGTGGTGTCCATGTTTGTTGAGACAGGGTCTCTCACTGGCCTTGACCTTGCTGCTGGTTACACTCCCTGGCCGGCAAGCCTCAGGGATCTGCCTGTCCCGGCCTCCCTAGTCCTGAGATCACAAGCACACAGCACCATGCCAGGCTTTTCCACTTGGGTCCTGAGGATCCAGTTCAGGTCTTCATGTTTGTGCAGCAGGTACTTCACCAGTTCGGCAACCTCCTGCGTTCTTGTGTTTGGAATTTTTAGTTGCTAGAGGAATCTCTGCTTCATACTATATCCCAGAGCAACGGGAGAAGTCCTGGCTGTAAAGAGAGAGCTGGAAGATCCGTAGAGGCCTGCCTCCTTTATCAGCACCACATTCAAGTCCAAACTACCTATAACATCAGCTGAGAAGCCTCTAGGTGCTAGGCATAGTTAGATGCCTGTGCTTCTAACATTTTGAGGCAGAGGCAGGAGGATGTTGAGTGCAAAGTCATACTGGCGAGAACTCCCAGCCCAAAAAGCTGAAAAAAGTGACAGTCCCAATCCCCACCAGTCTCTGGCATCCGTACTAAGGCAGGGATTTCGTGATGCTATCTGCCTCCTTCGTTATCTAGGGAGAGCAGAGGAGAGTATTTCCAATCACATTACCATGGCAACTGGTGAATTAGCGCTGGCCTTCCATTCAGCAGGAATTCAACAGGAAGATATATTATTCTTGGGAAATAAGACAGTTAATAACAATACGGTGTAATTTAGAGGTGGACAATATTAATAATGTTAATATGGCTTTTCAGTGTATCCATGTAACAATAGTGAAGTTATTTCGTATGAGAAGAATTTAGTTTTATTCGTCAGAATAGACCAAAGGACAGGAAAAATCCTACAATTTTTTTTGTCTATGCCTTGTCTATACCAGAATTGTGTAATATTTAATGTTATAATTTTATTTGTTACTATTATTGTGTGTGTCTGCCTGCACACACGTATGTGTATGTGTGTAAATGTAAGCATGCACATAGAGGCCCAAGGACAACTTTGGGGAGATGGCTTTGTCCTTCCGCCATTGGTTTGTGCCCCCAACTCAGGTCCTCGGGCTGTGCCGTCTTCCTTCCGAGCCATCTTGTCAGCCCTGTAATCCTTAGTACTGAAGTCTCACAGCATTCGATCCTCATTTTAAATGTAGTTCAGATGAGGCCGGAGAGATTGCATGATTTTCCTTCCACTGGGGACCAGACAGACACTTTCAGAAGCCCCATTCTTCTCAGACCTAGACTTTAGACGGTGGTCCCACCCACTCTTCTGGGCTTGCTCATATTTTATGACAATTGCTGGAGGATGTGCTCACCTCTTTGTAGTGGGTGCAGAGATGGGGACGACCAAAGGTCGTAAGTGTGAGTGATAGCAGCTTACATTGCATGGTGTGTGCTCACAGGATTCCCGGCAGTGGTTTAGAAGTAGGCCTGGAAACTGTCCTAGTTTGGGGGCAAAAGTAAGTGTATTGAAGTCATTTATTATTCATCTGAAATCCAAAATAACCCGGGCTTCCTGTACCTTTGCGTTATACCTGTGAACTTTACACCTGGGTCTCCTGTTGCTGCTGGTACTGCCCCTCCTGGAGACTAGCCAGACTTGCCACTCCAGTGGTTTTCCGAATGGTTCCTGGTTCTCTAGATCACAGATTCTGAAATATCAACAACTAACACAGGTCCGAGTGAAGAGAGGCCTCTGTCCAAAGCCCTTCTTGCCCCAGCCATGGTGGAGGCAAGAAGTTCCCGGTGGTGTCTTCAGCATAGTTAGAGGACAATGGCTTCTGTCTTCTGCTAAGTCTTAAGTTTCTCAAACATGGAGTTTGAGAAGCAGTTACTCATTGCTCGGAGTAATCATGAGGTTCAGATAACTGTGGCAGCAGAGAACCAAGGCCTCTTTCGCTGTCGCTTCATCCTGTGCCCCTCGTGTTTGCTCTTGTGTGGAGGCTGATAAGCTGGGTGTGGTTTACGTAATCTCTTTGCAGGTGACTATACAAACCCAGATTCAAGCGAGGTTATTTCAGGATTAAGCATGTGGCTCCATCTGGGTCAATGAGATAAAAGTAAAGTTTGCTTCAAGGATCTTGGAAGAATTTTCTTTATTCGTGACACCGACATAAAGCAATGACCTTGGGGGGCAGTGAGATGGCCCAGCAGGTAAGGACACAGAGCTATCGATCCCGATTACTGAGTTGGATCTCTGGGAAACCACATGGTGGAAAGAGAGAACCAATTCCTGCAAGTTGTCCTGTGGCCTCCACACTTACACTCTGATATGACTGTACACACACACACACACACACACACACACACACACACACACACACCCCGAAATGAATAATAGGGCCTGGAAAGGTGACTTAGCAGCTAAGAGCAAGCACTTGCTGCTCTTCCAGAGGACCTAAGTTGGGGTCCAAGCACCCACATTACTTGGCTCACAACTGCCTGTAACTCCAGCTCCAGGGGATCCAACACCCTCTTCAGGCCTTCACAGGTACCTTCATACATATGGCACGCACACACACATAAATATAAACAAATTTAAAATAAATTAATATTTTTTAAGAAATGACCTTGGGGTTTGGGGATTTAGCTCAGTGGTAGAGCGCTTGCCTAGCAAGCGCAAGGCCCTGGGTTCGGTCCTTAGCTCTGGAGAAAAAAAAAAAAAAAGAAATGGCCTTGGAGTTGGAGTGTAGCATGGAGGTAGAGGACTTTCTTAGCATTCTTAAGACTCTGGGTTTGATACCTAGCAGATACACACACACACACACAGAGAGAGAGAGAGAGAGAGAGAGAGAGAGAGAGAGAGAGAAACACAAACACCTGGAAAGGAGAAATAAATAATCTCATTTTAATCATCTTCCAGGTAGCTTTGTATGTACTGGTGAATCCAAGAAATCCTTCAGACATTTTGCTTCTAGCCTCAGATGAAAAACGTGTAAAACAAGGGCAGATGGCATCTTGGACATCACTGAGGATGGAGCTGGACCACCGATGAAGTTCTCAGAAGCCTGCCTTATTCCTATGCCTGGACTCTTAGGCTTTTGTTTGGCTCCACGGTTTCAAGTTGGGTGTTCTGATACAGCCAAACACAACCCAGCTGAGCAAAGGCCTCCTGACTCTGTGAGGCACCTTTATATAACTCATCATTTAGTGAAATCAGAAAGTCTAGCATAAAGCGTCTCAGCGGAATTAGCAGTCGTTGCTGTTATGAAATTGCGAGGCAGAGATGACTATTGAAATTAATGCGACACAAACGACCGGAGAGCCGTTTCATTCGGCCCGGGGAAGAGGCAGTTTCTAGTTACTGCCAGATGTTTGTCACTTTGGCCTGGATGCCAGGGGGGTGAAACAGCCACTGAGGAAGGAAGTATTTTCTGAGGAGAGACGGATATTTAGATTTCTGGGCAGGCTCACAGCGTGAACATAAACAATATTTTTAAAAATACCGCCTTCTTTCTTCATGCGGTGGACAGCTGCTGCTCTGGCCGGCCTGGAAGCCATCTTGGTTTTTCTGGGGGGCATGGATGAGCGGGCAGCTAGCGCCCCACTTCTCTGTGTCCCTCTCCTCTGCTTGTGCCCTGTCATCTCGTGGGAACCAGCCACACCTGATCCCATCCCAGACACTAACCCCCAGAGGTGGGACTGTGTCTTCAGGCCACTCCCACCCTCCCGAGAACTCAGATCTCTAGGGGAATGACGCAAGAGGGAAACGCTCCTTGGAGTCATTCCTAAAGGGACCCTCCATGGGTCACGTGAGGGACCCAGAGATTGCCTTTCGGAAGCCTGGATCTAGGGGCTCTCCAGTGGCTTCACTTAGGGCAGTGCTGTGTTTTGGCGATTATGGTTTAGGTGAGCTGGGTGGGGGTGGAAGCTTGGTTCTGTGTGTAGTGTTGGGAGGAGGCGTGTGTGACGATACGCCTGATATAAATGTGGTTATAGCCCTAAGCTATCATAGAGTCAATTAGAAAACGTTTATTGGGAATGAAAGCGGATTTTGCTAATATGTCTAACACATACAGAGCATTTACTGCTTACAGGGCACTGCTTCTTTGTTTACTCCCCTTGTCATCCACCGGTGTGTCCCTCCTTTATCCACCGGTGTGTCCCCCTTGTCATTCACCGGTGTGTCCCTCCTTTGTCCACTGTGTGTCCCCCTTGTCATCCACCGGTGTGTCCCTCCTGTGTCCACTGTGTCCCTCCTTTGTCCACTGTGTCCCTCCTTTGTCCACTGTGTGTCCCTCCTGTGTCCACCGGTGTGTCCCTCCTTTGTCCACTGTGTGTCCCTCCTGTGTCCACTGTGTGTCCCTCCTTTGTCCACTGTGTGTCCCTCCTGTGTCCACTGTGTCCCTCCTTTGTCCACTGTGTCCCTCCTTTGTCCACTGTGTCCTTTGTCCACTGTGTCCCTCCTGTGTCCACTGTGTGTCCCTCCTGTGTCCACTGTGTGTCCCTCCT